GTTTTCTGGAAGAGTAGCCACTGCTCTTAACCACTGAGTCACCTCTCCAGCCCCAAATGCAATACTTTTAAAAGGAATTAAAAGTATTAAACATTTCTAAGAATTAATATTGCTTGATATAAATCTTGTGACCAAAATCTCAGTGGACTCATCAATAATTTTTAAATTTAGTAAAGGCATCCTGAGATGAACTGCCTAAGAACCAATTGTCTAAAGAAGTTTCTCAGCAAATCCAACTTCCTGGAGGTTGACATACGGAGTCAGTGTTTGCCTTGGTTAGATTCATGGGGGTTTGCATTGCTTAGATTCATAGGGTCTAGCATCCTTTGAGTCAGTGTGAGGTAGCTTTTAGGAGGTTTCCATTGGGTCTATGATGGGCCATTTTCCATGTCCTGTCTCCAGTGTCCCATCCCAAGGTTACAGAATCTTCTAGGTTCTTTTCTGGGTTTCTAACCTCAGCTGCTGAAGATGGAACATTTTACCACAGTTACATGATGCTTGTTCTTTATGGAGATGAGGCTTTCATCCCCCAACATGCTCAAAGGCAATCAAGACTGCTATGTGACTCTTTCTCACCTTTCTGGAAATGAAGAACATATCCTGTCCCCCTTCCTCCCCTACAGGAAGCCACACCAAGCCAACTTCCCAGTCTGGATGTGCTCTCAAGGCCACATATGTGATTTCCCCCCTCCAAAGCCTGAACGTCCTTAGTATTCTCAGAGATAATAGTGCTGAACCCATCAGTCATTATTTTCTTGTCCTCAATTTTCTTTTTTGGCTTCTAATCCTGAGTCCCTTCGATTCCTTCCCACAGAGGCTTAAGTGGCCCCATTTAGAAACAATTTTCAGCTAATATTTGATGCATTCTTTCAAAATAACCCAACCATTTTTGCTCTCCAGGCTTTGTGCCTTTGGATTACATAAAACCAGAGGCCTGGAAATGGAGCAAAATGATGGGATTGCTTTTTGCGTGTAAGGGTGTGTTTGTTTCATCATTTGGGGGGACAAATGGAGAAATCTTTAGAAACTGGTGGAAGATGTTTGTTTGTGAAGAGCTAATTTAAGGATGCAGTTTAGTCATTACTAGAGAGAAAGGCATAGCTCTCTCTGCTTCTCACAGCACACCAAGCCTTATGGTGCAGAGTAAGGGTGGTTGACGGTGGGTGTGTGAGGGTGGGCTGCATGAGTCAAGAAGGCGTAGGTTCTTTTGGAGGTTCCTTCCTTCTAAACTCCCTGGGGTACCTTATCTCTGGCCGCTCCTGTAAGCTGATCTAGCTCATGTGGATAGGATACATGAACCCGGCAAAGCTGCTGCTTCTCCTACTCCTTCTACTCCTTCTCCTTCTCCTTCTTCTTTTCCTCCTCCTTCTTCCCCTTCCCCTTCCTTCTTCCTGCCTCTGTCCTCCTGCTCCTTCTCCTCCTCCTTCTTGTTTTTTAAAGAGATTTTAATTCCTGCTTGACAGGCTAGACCAAAGCCCATGAGTGACAATAGCTTTGTTTTTCTTTTATAAAGGAGAAAGCCACAGTGCACCTGGTATTTCATTGAATGATAGACAGACAGGCAGACAGACAGACAGACAGACACACACACACACACACACACACACACACACACACACAACTGAAAAAGAGGAAGAAAAATATTAAAAAAAAAAATAAGCTTTTAAGTACACAGCTTGGTTACCGGGAGCCATGATTTTATGAAGACAGAGCCACCATTTTTGACCTATCTGAAGTCTGTTTATTTCCCTAACCTATTTTAAGTCTTTAAACATTTTTACCTGTTGTCCCCCTTTCCACACAATTATTTGGTTTTATTTGTTTGTTTTTTTCTTCTTTTTTTCCTTTTTTTGCTTCTACTCAAATTTCATTCTTAATTAGCTTCTATGAGACAAAATATCAAAATATGGCATTTTATATGATGAAAATTACCGCTCACACCATGATGTTTTGCCTGAATTGACTGTCTTCAATATCCCGGAGGTGGGGTCTTGGGGGTGCGTTAGGGCTTCTATTTGGTGACTTTTGAGTTGGTTGGTTGGGAAGTTTGTGGGAGCTAGAAACTTGGCTCACCCTCAGTGCGTATGTGAAGTGCAATCCAAAAGAGCAGAGGGCTAAATGATGCTTAAGGGTTCCTTGCAAAGATGCAGTGAGCTCCCATTTATGCTGGAGTCAGTTTGGGAAGCTGTGATGAAGTACCCTAGGCTTAGGATGAGAGACCTGTAGATTTGAGTCATCCGGAGCCCAGAAGGCAAGGATGAAGGTACAACATGGTCTACATCTGGTAGAGATACTCCCATCGCTTGTGGCTTGCCAGTTTTTAATATCCAAACATAGTTGTAAGTGAGGGAGAGAGGCCCTTGGCACTGGTTCTGTTCATGAGGGCTGCCCTCATGACCTAATCACTTTCCAAAGCCCCCACCTCTGGATACCAGCACATCTGTGGGGACGAATTTCAACGTGTATCTATAGCAATGACCCCAACAGACTTCAAGCTGTTCTCCTTTCTGCTTGGAAGAGTGACTAGAGGTTTGGAGTTAATAACAATGACTCTGAGAAGCCAGGCATGGTTCCTCATGCCTTTAACCCCATCACTTGGAAGGCAGAGGCAAGCAGATCTCTTTGAGTTCAGGCCAGTCTGGGGTGAGATGGAATCTTGATATAAATTTCGTTTGCATTTTCTTGATGGCTAAGGATGTTGAACATTTTCTTTTCTTTTCTTTTCTTTTTTTTTTTTTTGAGACAGGGTTTCTTTGTAGCTTTGGAGCCTGTCCTGGACTAGCTCTGTAGACCAGGCTGGCCTTGAACTCACAGGGATCCACCTGCCTCTGCCTCCCGAGTGCTGGGATTACAGGTGTGCGCCACCACCGCCCGGCAAACATTTTCTTAATTCATGTATTTATTGACAATTTGGTCATTTTATTTGCCTCCTTGTTTAGTAGAATTCCCCTCAGATGGCTAGCTGACCAAGTTCTCAGTCTGGGGGGGTCTCTTCACTCAGCTGTTTTCTTTCCTGTACAGCACCTTTCTGATTTCATGTGATGCTATTTATCAATTATTGGAGTTATTTCCTGAGCCACGGGAGTTCTTTTCAAAGCCTCTTATCTTTGGCCATATCTTGAGGTGTTTCCCTCCAAGAGTTCTGGGATTTTAAGTCATACATGACGGTATTTGAAGCACTTTGAATTCATCTTTTGTGTGGGATGAGAGAAATGGAGCCTCTCATTCTTCTGCTTTCAGACCTGTGGTCTTCCCAGGAACATTTGCTGAAGTTGCTCTCTCTTTTCTCCAGTGTATGTTTTTTTCACCTTTTCCAAAAATTAGATGGCTGTGGGTGCATGGGTGTATCTCTGGATTCCCAGCTCCATGCCACCAGTTTCTGCGTCTGTTTTTGTACCAGTGTTGTTTTTGTTACTATGTTGTGTAGTCGGGTTTTAAATGGGGTGTCATGGTAGAATGATGTTCATTTTGCTCAGGATTGCCTTAGCATCTCCTGTGCTTTCATGGGACTGAAGCTCAACATTGCTTCTCCAGCTTTGTGAAGAACGGCTTGGCGATTGCTGCACTCTATAGACGGTTTGCAGTAGTATTGCGGTTTTCCTAACATTAGCTCTGCCAGGCCAGCAGCACGGGAGGTCAGTTTTCTTCTGCTGTCTTCATCTCTTCCTTCTGTGTTTTCAAGCTTGCCCGTAGAGGTCTACATCTGTAAATGGTTTATTCTCAGTTTTTTGGGGTTCTTTTTTTGGAGGGGACACTAGCATCCCACCATCATATTCCTGACTTTTCAGTCTATTCTGTTCCAAGGAACCTCCAGGTAAGTCAGCGACACGTCACATTTCACTTTTATAGAGCGGTAAGCATTATGCATTTTTATTAATTTATTCTCTGCTCCTTTCTTAGGAAGATATGCAGGGACAAATTGAATTCTCTCTCATCCTAATAAATGCTGAATTGTCAAGGATATATAAGCATTAACAAAGTATAAAATGAAAGGAGACACCAATTGGCAGTGGGAGGTGAGATTTCAACCAGAGCCCACAAGAATGAGCCATGAAAGATTAACTAGAAAGAAGAAAATTTGGAATATGTGTTTTCTCTTTTCAGCAACGCAAGGTTTCTGGATCATCAGCACATTTATGCCCATAGATATGGAAACTCAGGCTCTGGTATTGGAGTTTCGGAAACATCCCAATGTGTACACAGTAATTGGCACTCTGCCTCACTCAACTCCTGTGTTTCCTCTCCAGGATTCCATCTCCATTTACTGTCTAACCCTGACTAGATAGCATTCTAAATCTTGGGACACATTTGTGTACTTTGAGAAGTACCATAGAAATGAGAGTAAATCACTTAGGATTCTTCATAACCCTTTGGTTTCAAGATATACTCACGTATTTTGTTTTACAGGTGATGTCAAGATGTACAATCAGTTATTCAGAACTCAGTCAGACTCCCTGTGGACAACCATATTCCAACTTTATCCTTTACCAGCTGTTTTATTTTAGAGAGGAGGTCTAGGTTGTAGCCTAGGTTGGCCTTGAACTTGCAACCGTATGTCACTCAGCCTTCTAACTGCTGGGGTTACAGGTGTGGCATTGAAATAAGAAATAAATGAGATTGTGAATGGTATCTCTTCCACACAAGTCTTATTAGCTAGTGTCTAATGTGTGGAAATCACATTTTAAAGTCTTGCTGTACTCTCGGCTCTCATCCACGATCACCTGCCTGAAAGTAGAGATAGCACTTGGTAAGTCCTACACACACACACACACACACACACACACACACACACACACACACACACACGCATGTATGATTACGCACACTAAAGGTCACAACTTAATACATTAGAACAATTAGGTTATGAACTCTTTCTAGAATTTTGATCCACAACACGGACCAAAGGTTCAGAAGGTTAGTGTATGGCTATGGGGCACCACTGTATATTCATGATTCAGTTGTAATTCAGGCGATAATAAAACAGTGACTTTTCTTTACAGGTGGAGCGATCTAGGGGAGTCCATCCGCTATTTGTGGAGCTCTGTTTGTGGATGTGGATGTTTTGAACTCTTCAGCCTCAGACTTGGTCTCAGTATTACCAGCTGAAGGTAAGAGCTTATTCTGTTTATTTCAATGTGTATTACTAGTTTCTGAAGCATGGAAAAAAAATGTGTGCTCTGAAACATACAACCTACTGAATAGATTTATTTTGGGTGTGCATGCACAGTGCTGGTCAGCAGACTCAGGCCTACCTGATGGCTTAGCAGGTGACCTACAGCTGAGTGACACACCCAGCCCAGAGTTCTGGTTTCTTAGTGTTGATCAAAAATCATTATGAAATACAAATTTATAAGAAGAGGGAGAAATATACATGCAATGAATTTTAATACTGTTGAAATCTTCATAATCAGTATCTCTGTATCCATGTACAGTGCTTACAGTGCTTGCACTGTTGGAAAGCAGGAGGAAAACAAACCCAAGAGGTAGCCAGCCCACTGTAGGACTGCAGGAGCTGATAAACTGTAGGAAAACATTGAAAAATGCAAACATTGCTTTAAAAAGCAACAGGAAATGAGCCTGGATTTGCTCACCTCCTAAGAATTCAAGGAGCCAAGGGACTGAATGGGGTGGGGTCCCTCCTAAGATACCCCTTTTCTATTTGTGCCCAAGTAAATTGTTCCCTAGTGTTTGACATGGAAAGCATTTTTGTAAAGGGTGGATGTAAGAAATTTCCAAGTGTGTTTTATTTTCCAGTTTTTCCCCTCTCCTTTTCTTCACTGGGGTTGTTCTTAACTGCCTGCGTTCAGCTCAGGCTGGCTGCTCTTCCTCACAGGCCCCTCAGCCAGCAGAACAGTAGCTGTGGCTGGCTCCTTCCTCCCTACCCTTCCATGCTCAAACAGCTGGCCAGAACTCCTACACTGTCTTTGTCTTCAGTGGCAAGCTAGCTACAGCTTGGGTCCCATCTTCCCACACTTAGGCACCCCCCATCCCTTTCCTCTTTCTCTCTTTAAAATAAAATCACCACAGTTATTTATGTATGCATGCATTATGTATATATATATGTGTGTGCATAAATGCATTATGTATATATGTATGTGTGTATGCATGCATTATGTATGTATGTATGTATGCATGCATTATGTATATATGTATGTTTGCATGCATTATGTATATATGCATGTATGTGTGTATGCATGCATTATGTATATATGTATGTATGTGTGTATGCATGCATTATGTATATATGTATGTATGTGTGTATGCATGCATTATATATGTATGTATAAGTGTGTATGCATGCATTATGTGTATATGTGTGTGTATGCATGCATTATATATATGTGTGTGTATGCATGCATTATGTATATGTATGTGTGTATGCATGCATTATATATAATGTATGTGTGTATGCATGAATTATGTATGTATATATGTGTGGATGTGCATGTGCCATTGTGTGCATGTGGAGGTCAGAAGAAACCTTGAAAGATTCTGTTCTTTTCTTCCACTTTGTGGGTCATGGGGATCAAACTCAGATCTCCTGATGTAGTGGAATATTAATTTAACTATGTAAAGGTGTGTTACATTGTTTATGCTGCATTTGTTTAACAATGCAAAGATGTGTTGCTTTGCCCACTTAAGGCACCTGATTGGTCTAATAAAAAGCTGAACCACCACTAGTTAGGCAGTAGAGGGATAGGCAGGCTGGCGGGCAGAGAGAATAAGTAGGAGGAGGAATCTAGCCTGGTGTGGGGTGGGGAAGGAGGAGCGAGAACAAGGAAGAGAGAGATATGCCTGGGGCCAGCCAACCAGCTGCTGGACAGACAGACATGGAAGAAGCAGTGAAAGTAAGACATACAAAATGAAAGAGAGGTAAAATGCTGTGAGGTAAATGTAGATAAAGAGAAACAGGTTAAATTAAGTTATAAGAGCTAGTGGGACAAGCCTAAGCTAAGGCCGAACATTTATAACTAATAATAAATCTCTATATCTTGCTTTGGGAGCTGGTTGGTGGCCTAGAGAAAGCTCGTTACACTCTGGCTTGTCACCAAGTGCCTTTACCTGCTAATCAACCTTGCTAGTGGTCCCCCTGCCCCTTTTCTCTTTATTGTCCACCAGCCTGGACACTTTTCTCTCTTCTTGCCTGTTAATTATGTTTTTGCCTGCTAAACTTTCTTTCATATGCCTTATAATTTGATCTTTTTAAATGGTGTTTGAGATTGAACCCAGGGCCCTGTTCATGCTAAACAAGTACTCTAACACTAAGCTAAACTCATAACCTCCTTATGTTCTCTGTGTAGCTTTGGTGCCTGTCCTGGATCTCGCTCTGTAGACCAGGCTGGCCTCCAACTCACAGAGATCCGCCTGGCTCTGCCTCCCGAGTGCTGGGATTAAAGGTGTGCACCACTGCCACCCGACCTCCTTAAGTTCTTAAAGCTTGGTGTTCAGCAGGGCTCAGGTAATTTACGAAGATTCTACGAAGACCATTAGAACAGTTTTCATCTCCCCAAAGAGAAACGATGTATCCACACATGCTTACTCTTCCTGACCATATTCCTACGATATCTAAAGTCATTAGTCTAGCTTTTGTCTACTGTAGAAATTTCACAGGAGTAGGAATCATAAGATTTGTGATTCTGTGTGTCTGTTTTAGACAGCATGTGATTTTTCCAAGTTTGTTCCTGCCTGCTGCAGCATTGCTGGTCCTTCCTTCCTGAGTGGATGACACGTTTTTGGAATGTAATGCTTGGGGTTTTTTTTTGGGGGGGGGTCCAGTCATCATTTGAGGAGCACTTGAGGTACCCCCATTTTAATATATTGCTGTGAACATTCTTGTGCATGTTTTGTGTATACTTCAGCGTCAAATTGCTAGATGATAGGGTAATTCTGTGGTAAACAGTTTGAGATGCTGTCAAACTGTTTTCCTTATTGTGTATTCATGTCTGTGCAGGTGCGTGTGTATGTGTGGAGGTCATACTTGGGTGTCTTCCTCAGGTGCTATGCACCTTGTTTTTGAGAGCGGGTCTCTTAGAGTGTTCTCAATCTTCCTAATTCTGTGACCCTTTAATATAGTACCTCGTGTTGTGGTGACCCCCAACCATAAAATTATTTCATTGCTACTTCATAACTGTAATTTTGCTGCTGTTATGAATCACAATGTAAATATTTTTGGAGACAGAGGTTTGCCAAAGGGGTCGTGACCTATAGGTTGAGCACCACTGGATTAGGCTAAACTGGCTGGCTGGCCAAGGAGCCAGAGCTGACTGCTTGTTCCTGCTTCCTCAGGCCTGGGATTATACACATATGCCACTGCACCCAGCTTCTTATGTGCGTTCTGTGGATTGAATTCAGACTGAATTGGCTTATCTGCCCAACCGTGTAAAACCAAGTTCCAACCAGTTCATTTCCCCACAGATGATGTCTGAGGACTCAACTTTTGCTCTGTCATCCCAGCACATGCTGTTGTCCATCATTGCCGTGGCCACCCTGGTGGACGCAGAGCCACGTGTGTCTTGCAGGTCCCTTCCTCTGGGCAGCTCGCCTGAGCACTCTGATTCTCCCTCTCCTGTGCTTCCGTCACGCCCTGTGCTTATCCTTGTGACGTCCCTCATAGCGCTGAATTATAATTGTCTGTTAACTTTATCTCCTCTCCCAGGGTGTGAACCTGTTGGAGAGGGTACTAAAATATTTCCTGTGGCATCTCCCACTTTAACACCATGCCTCACACGGTTATTTTGGTCTCCTTCCTTTTTTCCTTTAGATGGTAGCGGAGCGTGTAGGTCCAGTCTTCATAGACTCCATTTTCAGCACTAGAGCAGTGGGATGACAGTGTTCCTCAGACCCATTCTTCAGCTGGCATGTCCTTGTTAGCGGGTGGAAGTGGAATGTCTAGCCTGTGTGTTTGACTTCTAGAAAATCATCTTCTCTTTACTGTTGTGCTGAAACAGTACTGTCTCTGACTTCACCAGATGTTGTGAAAAAGGCCTGGGTGATGTTCAAAAGAAAAATCCACAACCACCATTGCTTTGTTTAACTCCCCAGCAGCCTCTCCTTCTCTTCCCCAAATAAGTCCCCTTTCTAGTTCCATGTCACACGTACTGGTGTGTGTGTGTGTGTGTGTGTGTGTGTGTGTGTGTGTGTGTGTGTGTATGCACGTGAAACTCAGATTCCACATAAGAAAAGCATGTAATGTTTGTCTTTCTATGTCTGGCTTAGTGTCTTTAATATGATGATCTATGATTCCATCCATTTTTTCTTCAAATAACATATGTTTCTGTCTGAATTAAACTCCATTGTAGATATACAGCACATTCTCCTTATGTGCTCATCTGATGATGGACACCCAGGCCATCCTATTTGACTGTGAAAAGCAAGGCTGATTGAGAACACTGTTATGTTTCAAAAATAGTGCCAGTTACACACACTAGACTAGAAAGTTTCCAGATGTGGAGGGGAGCCAAGGTCAGTGTCATGAATGAAGTCTGTGGATTTGAGAAATAATGTTGAGTGCATACACTGTTCTTAAAGTGTCAGGAGACAGATGGGTTAGCATGAGGGCTGGACAGATAGGAATTGGTACTGAAGAACAAAGCTGGATGCTGAATCAAACATAATTAAAGACCTAAAATATGACATTGAATTAGAAAGTGCATTCAACCTCAGATTTGACTCATACTAAATTATAATGTCCTGAGTATAAATATAAATGCAATGACATATTTAAATTAGCTCTTTTGAGTGATTCTTCCCCCAAATATTTGACCTTATAGTCAATATTTGGGTAATTTTTTTTCCCTGCTATTTATGATCCTGTAAAGATTTGTCTTAGAATTTTCCCTACCCGGAATAAAGCTACTAGAGAGCCCTTCCTCACTTCCCAGTGTTCTCTGTGTCTTTTCAGGAGTTTTGCCAGTCTCTTCTTCCTGCTTTTAACATGCTTCTGGAACAGGGAGGAAGTGGGGGAGGGAGAGATGGAGAGAAACAAGTGGGAGAGAGAGAGAGAGAGAGAGAGAGAGAGAGAGAGAGAGAGATTGGACCCAGATCAGTGAGACAGGAGGGGCCGAGAGGAACTTGGCAGATGCTCTTCTCGTGTTTCGCACTTGAGCAC